AACGGATTGCCGAATTTGGATCTTAATTGGATTATCGGATTGAGACTCTAAATCCATCTCCCATTAATTTTATCAGATTCGGATCGATTTCGGATTAAAATCCAATCCATTGACAGGCCTAAACGGGACCCATTTTAACAATGTCACCGACAACATTGTTGATGTTTAAACATGAGTGCAGGGGTAGTTTTAGTAACACGTATTGTTAAGGCATCGTGGCCTTTTTGGTGGGCTCGGGCTATCTTTGTGCTTTATGGCCCGTCCCTATTATTGGCCTATTCCAATTTAAAATTGTTACGTTTGTACGTTAATTTTATTCTTCAAATATTTGTCGAGCTTGTGATGTTCGTGGATTAGTATGCTGAAATTTTTTACGTGTATCGAAAAGTGAAAGAATTGTATTACACAACGGAAAAAATAAATTGATTTATCGCTTGGGACGACGTCAAATGCGTTCAAATTGTTCAACATCTGTTTTGCTCGAATTAAATTATTCGCGGGCCTTATTCCTTGGTCAATTTTTTTCTTATTTCTGTCGGTAACGATGGGCAGTATGTGATTCACGTGTGCTGTAGCTTCAACATCAATTAAGGAAATGACAGCCTTTGACTATTCAAACAATTTCACATGGGTTAGCTTGTGGTTCACTATAAAATGTCTGAAGGGTATAATGGCAAATGTTGTTTCATATAACAAATATGAAAGAGGCATAATAATGCAGAGGTCCCACCATGATGTGGTGTAAAAAAATACATTATGGGAGAAAAAATGTGGATCGAACGGAGGCTTTAATTGAAAAACAGCTAGCCCAATTAAAAGAAAATAATAATAATAAAAAAGACGAGAACAATTCCACAACATGGCTCGTCTATAGGTGGCATACAAGACGAGGATGCTTGGACCAACGGGACTAGAGCTGTCAATGGATTGTATATGGATCGGATCTGTTCAAATTCGATCCGATTCGTTAAGAATAATTATCCGATCCGATAATCCAATGAATATTTGATTGTTAAATCCATATCCGGTTTATTATCTTATCAAATATCCGATTCAATTATCCGATCCTTCAACCAAAAAATTGGGAACCAACCTCTAAACCGGTCCGATCTCCATATATTAACCGAACAATATGAACATTTTTTCCAAAAAATATTTTAATTATCTTGATGGGCTCATCTCTTAATATTATACTAGAAGGCTCAAATAATTTTTATTTAAGTGATGCTTCTTTAGCTCATTTTTAAAGGAGTCACCTCTTAGAATGTTTTAGTGATCTTCCAAGGTGGGATATTAGTTTTTTGAAGGATATACTTTTTCTCCAATGTTTTAGTGATCTTTCAATGCGGGATACTAGTCAATTGTCAAGTCTAAGCGTTTACTAGTTTACTTTATTGTTTTCATTCAAAATCATAGCCTCAACAAGATTATAATCACAAATAATATCAATTTGAACAATGTAAATAATTTTGGACATATTAATTGTTAGTTTTTGATGTTATAAAACAAATTATTATAGTTATTTTTATCTTCTTGTAATTAATAAAAAAAATTAAATCTCTTCATATATTTCGATTAACAATATTCTAATATTATTTATTATTTGAAAATTATGTGTAAAGTATAATATAAGTTTCAAAATGGAAAAAAATTATGCTTAATAAATTATGATATAATATATAATATATATTATTTTATTAGAATAAATCGGATCAGATCGACCTATATCCATATTTGCTCCATTTAATTAACGGATTACCGGATTCAGATTGAGACTCGAAATTCATCTCCCATTAATTTTGTCAGATTCGGATCGATTTCGAATTAAAATCCAATTCATTGACAGGCCTAAACGGGACCATTTGAACAATGTCACTGACGGCATTGTTGATATTTAAACGTGAGTCCAGGGATAGTTTTAGTAACACGTATTCTTGAAGCATCGTGGGCTTTTTGGTGGGCTCGGGCTATATTTTTGCTTGAGGGCCCGTCCCTATTATCGGCCTATTCCAATTAAAAATTGTAACGTTTGTACATTAATTTTATTCTTCAAATATTTGTCGAGTCTGTGATGTTCGTGGATTAGTATGCTTAAATTTTTTACATGTATTGAAAAACGAAAGAATTGTATTACACAATGGGAAAAAAATTGATTTATCGCTTGGGACGATGTCAAATGCGTTCAAATTGTTCAACGTTTGTTTTGCTCGAATTAAATTATTTGTGGGCTTTTTTCCTTGGTCATTTATTTTCTTATTTCTGTCGGTAATGATGGGCTGTATGTGATTCACGTCTGCTGTAGCTTTGGCATCAATTAGGGAAATAGCAGCCTTTGACTATTCAAACAATTTCACATGGGTTAGCTTGTGGTTTACTATAAAATGACAAAAGGGTATAATGGGAAATGTTGTTTTCATATAACACATATGAAAGAGGCATAATAATGCAGAGGTCCCAGCATGATGTGGTGTAAAAAAATGCATTATGGGAGAAAAAATGTGGATCGAACGGAGGCTTTAATTGAAAAAGAGCCAGCCCAATTAAAAGAAAAAATAATAATAAAAAAGACGAGAACAATTCGGCAACATGGCTCGTCTATAGGTTGCATACAAGACGAGGATGCTTGGACCAATGGGATTAGAGCTGTCGATGGATTGGATATGGATCGGATCTGTTCAAATTCGATCCGATTCGTTAAGAATAATTATCTGATCAGATAATCCAACGAATATTTGATTGTTAAATCCATATCCAGTTTGTTATGTTATCGAATATTCGATTCTATTATCCGGTCCTTCAATCGAAAAAATGGGAACCGACCTGTAAACCGGTCCGGTCTTCATATATTAATCGAACATTATGAACATTTTTTTCAAAAAATATTTTAATTATCTTGATGGGCTCATCTCTTAATATTATACTTGAAGGCTCAAATAATTGTTATTTACGTGATGCTCCTTTAGCTCATTTTTAAAGGAGTCACCTCTTAGAATGTTTTAGTGATCTTCCAAGGTGGGATATTAGTTTTTTGAAGGATATAATTTTTCTCCAATGTTTTAATGATCTTTCAATGTGGGATACTAGTCAAGTGTCAATTCTAAGCATTTACTAGTTTACTTTATTGTTTTCATTCAAAATCATAGCCTCAACAAGATCATAATCACAAATAATATCAATTTGAACTATGTAAATAATTTTGGACATATTAATTGTTAGTTTTTGATGTTATAAAACAAATTATTATAGTTATTTTTATCTTATTTTAATTAATATAAAAATTAAATCTCTTCAAATATTTCAATTAACAATATTTTAATATTATTTATTATTTGAAAATTATGTGTAAAATATAATATAAGTTCCAAAATGGAAAAAAATTATGCTTAATAAATTATGATATAATAAATAAAATATATTATGTTATTATAATAAATCAGATCGGATCGACCTATATTCATATTTGCTCCATTTAATTAACGGATTACCGGATTCGGATCTTAATCGGATTATCGGATTAAGACTCTAAATCCATCTCTCATTAATTTTGTCGGATTCGGATCGATTTCGGATTAAAATCCAATTCATTGACAGGCCTAAATGGGACCCATTTTAGCAATGTCAACGACGGCATTGTTGATATTTAAACGTGAGTGCAGGGGTAGTTTTAGTAGCACGTATTGTTGAGGCATCGTGGCCCTTTTGGTGAGCTCGGGCTATCTTTTTGCTTGATGGCCCGTCCCTATTATCGGCCTATTCCAATTTAAAATTGTTACGTTTGTACAATAATTTTATTCTTCAAATATTTGTCGAGCCTGTGATGTTTGTGGATTAGTGTGCTGAAATTTTTTACATGTATCGAAAAGCGAAAGAATTGTATTACACAACGGGAAAAAAATTGATTTATCGCTTGGGACGACGTCAAATGCGTTCAAATTGTTCAACGTCTGTTTTGCTCGAATTAAATTATTTGCGGGCTTTATTCCTTGGTCATTTATTTTCTTATTTCTGTCGGTAACGATGTGCAGTATGTGATACACGTGTGCTGTAGCTTCGAAATCAATTAGGGAAATGACAACCTTTGACTATTCCAACAATTTCACATGGGTTAGCTTGTGGTTCACTATAAAATGACAAAAGGGTATAATGGGAAATGTTGTTTCATATGTCACATATGAAAGAGGCATAATAATGCAGAGGTCCCATCATGATGTGGTGCAAAAAATGCATTATGAGAGAAAAAATGTGGATCGAACGGAGGATTTAATTAAAAAAGAGCCAGCCCAATTAAAAGAAAAAAAAAATAAAAAAGACGAGAACAATTTCGCAACATGGCTCGTCTATAGGTGGCAATACAAGACGAGGATGCTTGGACCAACATGACCCGTTTTAGCAATGTCACCAAACGGCATTGTTGATATTTAAACGTGAGTGCAGGGGTAGTTTTAGTAACATGTATTGCTGATGTATCGTGGCCTTTTTGGTTGGCCCGGGCTATCCTTTTTGCTTTATGGCCCGTCCCTATTATTGGCCTATTCCGATTTAAAATTGTTACGTTTGTACGTTAATTTTATTCTTCATTTATTTGTCGGGCCTGTGATGTTCGTGGATTAGTACGCTGAATTTTTTTACGTTTATCGAAAAGCGAAAGAATTGTATTATACAACGGAAAAAAAATGTTGATTTATCACTTGGGACGATGGGAAATGCGTTCAAATTGTTCAAAATGATATTCATGTCACACTCTAAAAATTATATTAAATATAGTCAATCAATCATGCAAAATGATTGTAGTACCCTATTGTTAGAATAGCACCTAGAAATTAAAAGAAAAAAGAAAGAATATCATCTATAGGCAAAGTTGATAAGGACGACTTGAACATTTTAAAGTATGAACTTTTGGAATTGGAATAATAATAAAGAAGACGAGAATAATTTCGAGACATGGCTTGTCTGTAGCTGGCCCTACAAGACGCGTGGGTCGATTATTTAACCTCCAATATCAAGGCAAAAATTGACAACCTATTCAATTTCCTCTTAATCTTAATTGTATTTGCTTTCCAATTGTCCGTTCAGTCGTCGTCAACCCTCCAAGAAACTGCAATTAACTAGGCACAAAAGAATGGCAGAGAGCGCAGTATCATTTCTAGTGAATCAGCTAGCAACACTGATCCAAGAAGAGAGACAACTATTAGGAAGTCTTGATGAAAACTTCATGTATATCCATAATCAACTGGAGCTAATGCGTCCTTTTTTGCAAGGTGCTGATGCAGAAGATGGCAATCCTCAACTCCAAGCATGGGTTAAACAAGTGAGGGAGGTTGCTTATGATGCTGAAGATGCCATCGACACATTTATGCTACAACTTGCAAATCTCTGTGCAGAAGATGTATTCTGCTGCTGTGTCCAGGAGATCTATATCTTTTTAAAGAAGCTCGGAGTGCGCCATAATATTGCGTCTGATTTGGAAAACATCAAGGGAAGGGTCACGAACATTTTTGAAGCACGTGAGAGGTACCAAATAAAAAATGTTGCACCGCTGAGATCTAGGTCTACCTTATTGTTTGATGGGCGTAATGATGCGCTTTTGGTGGACGAAGCTAAGCTTGTAGGAATTGACAGGCCAAAAGAATTGCTCATTAAAGAGCTTCTTGATGATGAAACTCGGCTTAAAGCTGTTTCTGTGTGGGGAATGGGAGGATCGGGGAAGTCCACGTTGGTTAAACGGATTTACGAGGATGAACGAGTGAAAGGAAAATTCCAGTGCCATGCTTGGATCACTGTTTCTCGGTCCGTTCCCATGATGGAGCTTCTCAAAGACTTGATTCGAAAGTTGCCCGATGAAATCAAGGAACTTATGCCTCAGGACCTCAAACAAGAGGTTGAATTGAAAGAACTTGTCAAGAAATTCCTCTCTGAACGTCAGTATATTATAGTTTTTGATGATGTATGGAGCACTGATTCATGGGATGCTCTTAAGCATGCACTGCCTGACAAAAATATGAGTAGTCGTGTAGTGCTCACTACACGGATACTCGATGTGGCTAACTTAGCCAGTCGGACGGAATATCCGGGCTGTGTCCATGAAATGGAGGCCTTATCTGATGAAGACTCTTGTAAACTACTTTGTAACAAGACTGGAAACGAAACCATCCCCCGACATCTAAAAGACTCTGCAAATGGCATATTGGATAAATGTAAGGGCTTGCCTCTTGCCATTGATGTTGTTGGTGGTCTATTGGCTATGAAGGACAAGAACAACATAGAGGAGTGGAGTACAGTTTGTAGCTACCTTAACACCAAGCTACATGGTTATAGTGATAACCTTGAAAGAATACGACAGGTACTTCTTCTAAGTTACTATGATTTGCCTTACTATCTCAAGAGTTGTCTATTGTACTCGAGCATTTTCCCTGAAGATAGTACTAACTTTGAAAGAATACGACAGGTACTTCTTCTAGGTTACTATGATTTGCCTTACGATCTCAGGACTTGTCTATTGTACTTGAGCATTTTCCCTGAAGATCATATGATTGACTATATGATATTGATTCGGTTATGGATAGCCGAAGGATTTGTGCAAGGGAAAGAAAGGTTGACAAAAGAAGAGGTTGCACTTCGTTATCTTGAGGTGCTTATTAATAGAAGCCTAATCCAAGTTGCAGAGAGATATCCAGATGGAAGGGTAAAACTATGTCGTATCCATGATATTGTACATGAAATTCTTGTTTCTAAGTCAAATGAGCAGAATATTGTGAGCACACGAATCGGAAGAGATTCAGAGTTGCCTGATAAAGTTCGAAGGTTGGCAATACGTACTTCCGTAGACAGCGGCCACCTAGAAATTAATAGGTTGAAATATCTACGATCACTGATATTAACATTATCCGAATATTCACTATTTGAATCATTCTCATCGGAGCTGCAATTTGAATCATTCTTATCGGAGCTGCTGTCAGGTAGTCGAAAGTTGCTAAAGGTATTGGACTTAAGAGATGCTCCACTAGGAAAGATCCCAAATGAAGTTTTCAAACTTTATCATCTTACGCATTTGAGTCTGAGGGGGACAGAGGTCAAGGTCATTCCAGAGTCAATTGGACAGCTTCAATGTCTAGAGACTTTAGATCTTAAACACACTCAGGTCATTTCTTTACCAATTGAGATCCTAAAACTCAAAAGGCTCCGACATCTCTTAGTATATAAATATAATAGTGAAACGGTAGATTATGACCGGCCCTTTGATTGTGCTCAAACCTTTAAGGCTCCATACAAAATAGGATGCTTATCATCCCTACAGAAGCTTTGTTATATAGAGGCAGACCAAATGGGTGACACTACAATAGTGAGAGAGATAGGGAAGCTAACCCAACTGAGGAGATTGTGTATTAGGAAATTAAAAAGAGAAGATGGGAAGGATTTTTGCTCGTCCCTCAAGAAGTTAACTGAACTACGCTCGTTGAATGTCGGTTCCATTGGAGAGGATGAGATCATTGAGTTGCAGGATGCTCTCGATTTTAAATTTCTTCGAACCCTATGCCTGGCGGGGAGGTTAGAGAAGGTACCACAATGGATACCTTCTCTTCAGTCGCTGACTCAAGTAGTTCTGAGACATAATAAGTTAAGCAAAGATCCGTTAGAATCCCTTCAAGATTTGCCTAGTCTAGCATCTCTTGTACTTCATGCAACATTTGAAGGTGAGAAATTGGAGTTCAAGGCTGAAAAATTTCAACGTCTCAAGACTTTATTGATTCGGAGCTTAAATGGATTAAGAAAAATCGTGGTGGAGAAGTGTACCATGCCAAATCTTGATGAGCTATTCTTGGGGGATTGCAAGTTGGTAGAGTTGCCTATTGATTTCGAGCATTTGAACAAGCTTCAATACTTTCAAATAAATAATATGGCCAAAAACTTTGTCGAGGGACTAGAAAATCAGAAACGAAGTGAAGGGAGTAATTGGAAACTAGCTCATGTTCTCAATATTGTTGTTTCTGTAGATGGTGAACCAAGATGGCGATACTTGTAACAGAGATTCCATGCATTTGTACCATTTTCTTTGTCATACTGGATTCAGTTTCACTTGGCTAAAAGTAGCTTTTGCTTCTATTTTATTTCCGATATTATTTCTTTGTATGTAATTGTCTTCTTTAGTGTGTCATGACTGAAAGATGCTCTACTTATTCTGCATTAACTTCTTTTTTTATTCTATTATTTTAACGGAGTCTAAAGGAAATAGAGAAGTTATGCTTAAAAGCAAAGTAAAAAAAAAGGTCATATGCTATCATTTAGAGTCTTGATTTTTGAGCCAAATGGATAAAAATTTGGAGAATTCAATTTTCTTTTGTATAAAAAGTCGTTCAATTGTAGATGAGAGCAACATAGTCAAATACTTCTAATTCATCTTCATACAGAACTATGAATTCAAACACATAATTAAGTACACTGTTCGGTGACTGCAACGCCTCACTTGAAATTTTATCTAGGTTGGAAAAAGGAATAGCAGAAATAGCTCTCCTATCATTTCGACTTCCTCATCATCCAAATAAATTAGGATGGAAAAAAATGTGGAGGAATCGAGTATTGGCAGAGGCTCATTCAAGTTGGACGGTTCACTACTTCTCGTGGATGAACCCATCATCTCGATATTGTTGTATTCAGTGAAACTGTTTGTATATGTTTTGATGTATAAAGTGTCATAAAGATGGAGAAGTTTTTAAGTGTAACTGCAAAGAAAGTCATGCCATGCTATTTATAATCAAATTCTTGGAGGGAATCAATTATGGTCATTTAGTATACAACCACCATTTTCCAGCTTAAAGTGTTGCTTGAGTGACAATTGGTGTGATAGTTAAAGGTCTAAGTGAACCTTTATCCTCTAAACTTTGTCCATAATTTATGAAAAATGTGAATCTCAAATCATCTGTACCATTTTATCTTAAAATATGTAGTTGTTGATAATCAATTTTCATGAGTACTTTTGCATCTTAATTATAGCATGGTCTCGAAGTCTTTTTGATATTTAAACTTCTCATAATCAGAATTCAATCAAGAAATTCAACAATTTTGTCTTGTGCTGTTTTTGTATGTTCAATGTATAAAGTGTCACAAAGCTAGAGAAGTGTTTAAGTGTAACTGAGAAGAAATTCATGCCATGCTATTTATAATCAAATTCTTGGAGGGAAGCAATTATGATCATTTAGTTCACAACCAACAAATCACAGCTTAAAGTGTTGCTTGTGTAACAATTGTTGTGACGCTTTAAAGTCTAAGCGAACCTTTATCCCCTAAACTTGGTCCATAATTTACCTAAAATGTGAATCTTAAATCATATGTACCATTTTATCTTAAAGTTTCCTGCATATAGTTGTTGGTAATCAATTTTCATGAGTACTTTTTATGTTAATTATAGCATGATCCTGAAGTCTTTTTTATATTTAAACTTCTCATAATCAAAATTCAATCAAGAAATTCAATAATTTTGTCTTGTGCTAATTGAACAATCCAATAAATATGTGAAACGAGAAATGATAAGATGCATAACTACAGATATATACAACCACCAAATCGTATTGATAACCATATTCTTCGAGGAAAGCAAAATGTGGTCATTTAGTACATTGCCACAAAGTGATTCTAACATAGTATTCACAAATTTCGTCACACTATTTTTTTTACTCTCTTTCTCTTCTCCTTAGTGTACAGAGTTCTAATAGATGTTGCAGGAAATCGAATGCTTATCCATCGCCACCTCTTTGTGTTAACAACATTGTTGCCTTCGACGGATATGGTGGCCGCCATCAACAATCTAATGACACGGCCTACATAAAAGTACTATGGGTCAAATTATCTATCCGAAATGCCAAATAATAACATAATATAGCCTACAAATATCAAATTATTTGCTTGGCTACCTAAAATCAATATCATGAATCATTCTTTAGGAACATACATTCAGGTTGGACCATGTCATTAGAAGTTGGAAGTGTACTTTTGTCTACGGCATTATCCAACATTGTTAGTCCATCTGCATTTAAATTAAAAGAAGACATTCCACGGTAGCTTTCTACTCAATATACATATAGTAGATAATTGGAATTGAGCATAGTATAACTTCTACATTACAGAGCTTACCATATGCCTCCGTCACGCCACAAGCTGAGAGAACTTTCTCATTGTCCGAGCATGACACTTCAGGCTCTATGGCTTTCTCTATCTACGTGAAAATAACATTTGCAATATTAATGAACATGAGTTCAATTTTTCTAGTTTGCATGCTAGGGAATGAGATGAAAGTATTTAAATTTTTTATTTCTTCAAAATTAATGCACAGACCATTTACCTCATGGAGTTTGTTCATGAAATTATTTGTTTCGATTCAAAACCCACCGCAAGTGTACGATTAGTTAACAAGTAGTAGAATGGACTATGAGTCCAAGTATCGATCCCAATTATGACCTTAACCGAATCACGAAAATCAAATTGAGGTTTTGTACTTTAACTGACAAGATGTAACCTTTGATGCAAGTATGAATGAAGAATTATACTAAATACAAAATAACTTGGATGCAATTCACTAGAATTTTATGGAATTAATGGATATACTAACGCACTAGGATCACGAATCCCCAAGCAATACCCGTTCAATTGTCAATTATGCAACTTTGACACACAGTTCCACAAAAGATGAATCAATATTCCTATTTTAATTTAGCAATCTCTCTCGAGCAATGCCAAACCTATCCCAATATATGATTCGACTATATTTCTATGACGAATACTAACATACAAAATGCATTATAAATTCACGAAAATCCAATGATTCACACAAGGCATAGAGGTATATTTCTATCCCCTATCGGACCCTATGATGATTTATATTATGTCGAACCTATTTTCCTTCTTTCAAATGCATAAAACAGGCCACCACAATCATATAATTACGTGCACAATAATCATATGAAAATAAAAACGTAATAAATCAATCAAATTCGGAACTTGTGTTCAAATACATCAAAAATCCAAATCAACAATCAAACGTAGTATTACAAGGTTCATCGATCTCCTAGCAATGATAAATCTAGCCTAACATGCTAAAAAGAAGAAAACACAAAAATATTTGAAGAAACGTCATCATCCAAATCAATCTTCAATCTTCACTTGGCGCGATGTTGTTCTCCTGTTTTATCCTTCGTTTCTCCTTCAAATTCTCTCAAAAACATGTAAAAAAGGCATCCCCCATGTTCTATCGAGTTTTTGTATTTATAGGACCCTAAAAATATTGTTTCCATAAGAGTTTTGGCGGAAAAAGGAAACAGCAATTTTACCCTAATGTTGCTCTATGCCACCGCATAGAGCAACAAATTTTTGGTTCCTTTTTGTCTTTAGTATGTTACTATGTGACTACATAGATGGTAGCACTATGCGGTCGCATAGTACTACCAACTATGGCAAATGTGCGTTTTGGTCCTCCCACTTGTATCCTTCACTTCTTGGCATCTTTTCTTCATTCTTTTCATTTCATCATCCCATGATATAGTCAATTGGAAATTGGCTTAATCAATTTCTCAATTTGTTCATCGGATCGACTTTTGGATATTTACAATTTGGTCCCTAAACTTTCACTTTGAGTCATTTTAGTCCTTTTCGTGTTTTTCTCCAGAATTTCACCATGTTCGTCGTTGTTCCCTACAATTCACAAATGTACGAGATTAAGCCACAATTCAATAATTTTGCTCGCTATTAAGTCATGTTTATGACCTAAATAAGTGTACAAAAATACACTTATCAAATCCTTCGAACTTGAACTATTGTTTGTCCTAAAAAAAGATAGTGACTTGATTCTGAACAAATATGGCTTAATACCCTGTTGTGGCTCAGGATTGGACTGAGTATTTAAAAATTTATCTGTGCAAACATGACATCAACCTTTACCTGTTAAATGCAAATTGATGTGTGTGTGTGTGAATTCATGCCAACATATCAGGTTCATGATGAAATTGAGTCCCGACCCTAAGTGGTCAAATATACCCTTACTCACTCGAGAGATATACAACCCCCAAACTTATTATTTTCACTCTATTATCCTGGGGTTGTGTATGAAGATTAGGAATTTATATAGTTGTAGTCCTCACCCTCTCGTAGTTCGGATTTAGCATTACTATCACAAGTCTACATTCCAAAATGTGAAGGCTTTCCTAGATTTGATTGCTTCGGCACTCAAGATTAAACTAGATTAATTGTCTCGCCTCAGAGGTATAGTCTCTTCAACCAAATGTCTAAGGGCTTTTCATCATGTTTTGTCTCTCTTTTATTTTTCTCACCTTTCTTTAATTTCTGATTAATTGTCATCTTCTCATTTGCTTTCTATATAAACCATGTAACGAGCCTTAGGTCGGTGATTCCCAAACCAGTTGGCTTTAGGGCACCAGGTTTTAAACCCTTGCAGGCTTATTCACTCGAGTTATAAAGGCTCGATAAGATGACTTTTTATTAACTTCTTTCCCTCTTGCTTTCTATATGACCCATGTATCGAACTTTGGGCCGGTGACTTGGCTTTAGGGCACCAGATTTTGAAATATCCTTACAGGCTTACTTGCTCGAGTCATAAAGGAATGAAAAGAAGTGTTTTATTCTCACATATTAAAATTGTGCCCTTTGTCATTTTTCTAGACATTTAGTTTCCAAAACCAACCCCCAATTTAAGATTTTCATCTACTCTTCATCCCACGGGTCTAGGCAATCAACACAATAAATTTCATGCATGGAGCCCCCTCTTATCTTAATGCTTTCCTATAATAGCTCAACTTTCACCGAACTGTCTTAAGGTAGTTTATGGGCTAATTCAGTAGAGGGTTATCATTCTTTTCCTATGTTATGCCCGAAATCCAGTCATTCTCCTAATTTTGCAAGCATCAATAGCGTGTATAGACAATGTCAAGTGTTGCATCAACAAGTATCAGTTAGTCTAAGTAACATCAGATCCAAAGTTTTGCAATTTACACTAGTCCAATAATATCATCATAACTA